GCCCCTCCGACTGGCACTTGGCGTGTCACGCACAGAGCGCGCTCCGCACAACTGCATTCACGTCATTTCGCACATGAGCTATTGTATCTGAAGGAGAAATTCCGGGAAGTGTGATCTGGGTCAGAAGGTGTGTGTGCATTTGTCATTTAAGTAGATATTGCAGCTCTCCCTGCGTTGGATTTGAGCCAGTTTCCTTTTTCCTCATCAAGGTCACAGCTTCACCAATGTGCTGTTATCAAACCTAGTGATCTTCGCCAAACATATAGGTTTGTGGGGTGTTTTTTTTTAGAATATAACAGGATTTATTATAGGGTAATTTTTTCCTTTTAAAATATATATTTGTATTGATTAGGCTATTAGAGTTGTCCCAATTTTTACCCTCTTCCTGGTACCCCCCCTTCCCTTCAGTAATCTCTCCCACTTAGTTCATGTCCATGGGTCATGCATATCAATTCTTTGGCTTCTCCATTTCCTATACTTCTCTTGACATCCCATCTGTTTTGTACCAGTTATCAGCTGACAGTTTCATGGAGACTCCTTTGTAGGTAAGTCTCTGCTTTTCTTTTGCTGCATTTAAGATTCTTTATCTTCAACCTTTGACATTTTAATTATGATGTGTCTTGGTGTGGTCCTCTTTGGGTCCAACTTGTTTGGGACTCTTCTGTGCTTCCTGGACTTGTATGTCTATTTCCTTCACCAAATTAGGGAAGTTTTCTTTCATTACTTTTTTCAAATAAGTTTTCAATTTCTTGCTGTTCCTCTTCTCCTTCTGGCATCTCTATGATTTGGAAGTTGGCACATTTGGAAATGTTCCAGAGGCTCCTTATACTACCTTTTCTTTCTTCAATTGTTTTTTCTTCTTGCGGTTCTTGTTGAACACTTATTTCTTCCTTATATTCCAAATTGTTGATTTGAATCCCGGCTTCCTCCCCTGCACTGTTGGTTTCATGTGGATTTTTTTTTTATTTCAGTTAGCGTAAACTTCATTTCTTCCTGTGTCTTTTCTATGTTGTTGCTGTAATCAGTGAGTTCTTTGAGCATTCTCTTCACCAGTGTTTCAAAGTCTGCATCCAATAGGTTGGTTATCTCTGTTTCGTTTAGCTTTTTTTCTGGGATTTTGTTCTGTTCTTTCATTTGGGCCATACGTCTTTGTCTCCTCAACTTGGCAGCCTCCCTGTGTGTGTTTCTGGGTAATAGGTGGAGCTGCTTTCACTCCCTGCCTTAGTAGTGTGGTCTGTTATAGAAAAGGCAACTGTAAATTGTGTGGGGCAGAGGCTTGGGTAGTCGCCAGGGTGGGGCAACCCACTTCACTGCCCTGTGGCTCTGTGTTGGGGGAGGGCACCGAGAGGGGACAGTGCTGCCACCTGGCTTCTGGAGGTTTGCCTGGAACTCACTCTGTTTCCAATCATTTCACCCACTCCCGGTTTGTGACCGGCACCTTTCCAGCTCTTGCCCTGGTGCTGAATCCCAGAGAGGGTGGGTCTGAGTATATTTTAAATCTGTGTGGGCCCTTTAAGTGGAGACTCCTAAAAATCCAGTATTTTTTTCCGCTGCCCCAAGCCCCACTGACTTTTATAGCCAGAACTTATGGAGATTTATATTCCTGGTGGTGGAACCCTGGGGTATGCAGTCTGGCCTGGGGCTGGGATCGCTTGCTTCCAAGCTGTCCTCTCAATTTTTGTCCTCCACAGGTGGATGTGGGACCACCCATTCTTCCCCCACAGCCTCTCTGTGGCACGCCACATCTCTGTGCCTCTCCACCCCTCCTACCCATCTGGATGAACCTGGCTTCTTTAAATCCCTGGTTGTCAGACTCCCATACAGCTTGATTTTCTGATGGTCCTGGGTGTTATTTGTTTTGAGGTCTAGTTGTAATTCTCTCTGTGGTTAAGCAAGGAGGTGCAGTGTGTCTACCTATGCCTCTGTCTTGACTGGAGGTCATGCTCAATCTCACAGTATAGTTTCAATGCTTGTTTCCCTTGCGAGATTGAGAATCTTCTCCTCTGAGTAAGCACTTCGTCTTTGTGAGCTCAAGGCTTGTATTCTTTGTTAACTTTTTCATGGACTGTTGTAGTATTTTTCAGGGGTGTGTGTGGGCACAGAGGAGATCAGAGTCTCCAGTGCCTCATGAGCTCTGGATGGAAGGATGGCAGGCAGAGAGCGCAGAGGGTTACCCATGGCTCCTGGGCCGAGGGGCGATTTCTAACAACAGACTTGAGGAAGTAAGCTCCCCATCTCTGGGAGTGTGCAAATGTGTTGGAAGGGTTGTAGAAGAAATTGATGACACAGGCAAGGTTTGGAGCTGGGGAACCTTAGTCCTTTCTAAATGAGAGTCCACCCAGCAGCCTAGGGGTGGCGGGGATTTCGGCATCCTCCTCACTTCCTGTAGCTTCGGAGACAAACTGTTCCACATCCCTTCTGTGTGTGGGTGGCAGTGTCCTGGCACCGTGGTGTGAGCCGGTTCTTGTGAGGTCTGGGATGACTGGTCTGTTGCAATCACTGTCGTTCCAACTTCAAGGCTCCCAGTATGTTGAGCTTGGAGGTGCTGCCCCGGTGGGAAGCACAGTCTCCCCTCACTCCCCAATCACTTCCTGAGGGTTCTTGGGGATGCTACAGACGGAAGCTGCCTGGTTGGTGGGGAGGTGAGGCATGGGGCCCAATCCTGCATGTTTGTGATCTGGAAACCATGGCCTAACTGTGGGGCCCTCCCTCCTGCTGAGGACCACCTGCTAGCCAGGAATGGGACTGGACACATTGGGACAGGGTGGGTAGGGGCAGGTAGGGCCTCCCCTTCACCTACTGTGTGGTAGATGTGGGAGGGGTGGCCTGATGCTTTGCAGTAAATGAGTTTCCACTCTGGAAAATGCCTGCGTGGGAACAGTGCTGGTGGGGGCGTCACAGGCACACAGAAGGCCTCGGGAGAACTGACAATAGGGACCCTGCAAGAGAGGCTCCATGAATCCTGACTGGTTGAGTGAAGGAAGGAAAGGATGACACCTTGGTGTAGGGCGGAGAAGACGGCTTGTGACTATTCTGTTGATAAACTAAGATGTGTCCAGACTGAAGGATGAGGTTTCTGCTTTTTGTTGGGCTACAGGATCTGAGGGAGACAGTCCTGCCCCCAGCAGGACTCTGGGGTGGCTGGGGATGAGGGCAGAGGGAAGAGCAGAGGCCCGTGGCACCCTCTGGGGAGAATGCCCAACCTCCTACAAGGCTGGACTCCAGGCCCCTGCAGGGAAAGGGTGGGGCCTCTATGGCATTCTCAGGACAGGTTCCGACAAAAGCCCCTGGGGTGGAATCTCAGGAATGTTAGTCAGGACAAGGGTTTCTAGGCCTGGGAAGTTCTTACTAAATGCTTTTCCTGCTAAATGTTGAAAGGAACAGTAATTTGCAGACTCAGCTGTCACCTTGTGAGCTTGACCAGAGCCCAATAAGATAGGTTTAGCTAACTGCCAAGAAGAACGCCACATGTAATAACAAAATAGTGTACATAAGCAGTGGTTACACTTCCCTTCAGGGAGACAGGGCTTTGGATGTGAATCCTGGGCCCTTTACTTGCTGCATGTAAAGAGTACAACCACCTAAGGACAACCACATCTCATTCCTGAATAGAACACCCCAAGCTGTGCACCTCTTGAGTCTGGTAACAGGGACAGGGTGGGTGAGGTCTGGGGAGATGAATTGAACTTGGAATCAACTACTAACAGAGTGGAAGGAGATGAGGACCAGCAGCCCAGGGCAACAGGCTCCTGGGGACCTGTGTGGGGGTGGAGGGAGGAGCCAGGGTCCAGGTGGTGTCCCCACCTGGGGTATCTGCCCCAGGTCACAGCGGGCTGGGCAGCCCTCCATCACTGCCTACTGTCTGAATAATGCATTGGGGCCAAAGTGCTGGCCCTGAGGGTTGGTTTTGGGGAGACTGAAATCTCAGGGTGCAGTGTCCTGGATGTTCATCATGAGGTGAACCTGGGGGAGGGTCTTGAAGGTTCAGAACACAGGGGATGGCCTAGGGCATTAGTGGGGTCGCCACAAGATGATCCTGGAGGCCAGAGCCTTCAGGAGGGGCTGAGAAATGGGGTCAGGAGCTGCACTGTGAGGTGGCCATGAGGGGGTATGTCTGGGGCAGACTTACTCCGGCAAGGGGTTGAGCTGAGAGCAGTGGGCGCTAACCTGGGGCTTCGGGGTCTCCGAACATGGTGTCCGTGGAGGTGCAGGTGGGGAATGGTCTCTGGGCAGAAGGAAGAGTCTGGGGAACAAGACCTGCTGGGAAGGCAGCGTTTGGCTGGAGGGTGAACTTGGGGAGGGGGCCACGGGTGCCGGAGGTCCTTCGGGGGCCACTGTGGAGGACACACTTGAGGAGCAGGGATGGGTCTTCGTGGTGGATGTGGGAGTTTGCCGCCGACGAGGGGGCACCGGGAGCTCTCAGAGCATCCAAGTGGTGCAGAGCTTTGGGTGATCAGAAAGGGGAGACGGACCAGAAGGTGCACTTGGGGTGCTCAGAATCAGGGGGTTTTGGCCAAGTGGATTCTGGGTGGGGGGGTGCCATCTGTTTGCAGGCATTAGGAGTAGGGGACAGATTGTAAGGGTGGACCTGGGGGCTGTGACGCTGGTGGAGAGATTCAGGGAAAGCATCCTGGTGCAAGTTCCTTAGACGGAACCGATTACGGAAGTGGGTGTGGTCGTCCTTGGTGGGCGTATCAATGAGGTGAATTGGGGAGCCTGGAGCCCAGGGGAATCTTGGGGGGCTGTATCAAAACCAGGAGATGGGGGTGGTGAGAAAAATAAAGAGTCCCGGTCTAGGAGGTCCTGGAGGTGCATTTGGGGGGCGGGTCTGAGAATGAGAGTGCCTTGGGGGCGCTGACCATGGGAGACAGGTTTGACGGAGGCAGCGGGTATGTCTGGGCAGGTCCAGGAGTGGACCAGGCTGGCCCTGAGGGAAGGCGAGGCCGCGCCGACTGGGTAGCAGAAGCTTTACTGACCCCCACCCCAAGCCCCTCCCCCACTCAGTAGCATTTTTGGTACACAATCTGGGGCCCCTGCTCCTCATACTGCTCCCTCAGGACCCAGCAGGACTGGAAGGCGCCCAGCGAGGCTAGGATGGAGCCCCCAGTCCACACCGATAAGTTCCGGGCGGGCTGGGCTGCCACCGCCGGGCGCGCGTCCGGGGGCAGACTGCGCAGCAGCTCGGCGCGGAAGCGGCCCTCCAGTCCCACGAAGAGCGAGGACCCGCCGCAGAGCAGCACGTTTTGGGCCACGTCGCCCCGAACCTCCGCAGGCACCTTGCTAAGACTCCGTTTGGCCATGGTGGGGACGCCCACGGGCGACAGCCCAGGCCTCTGCGGGGGGCTGAACAGCAGCTCCGGGCACTGGAAGAGCTCCTTACCCAGCGAGACCATCTGGCCCTCGGGCAGCCTCAGGCGCTGCCGGCACTCTTGCTCCGGTCGGGCGCATTCCTTCTGGAAATCCGGGGCCACGTAGCAACAGCGGTGCTTGATGACCTCCACGGCGCCCAGGTCCTGCCGCCGCAGCGGGCAGCGGGGGCCCAGCAGCACCTCCGCCAGGAAGGCTGTCAGGTGGGTGCCCGCCAGGTCCAGGCGCTCGATGGCGTGAGGCAGGTGGTAGCCCTGGAAGACGGGCACCGTGGAGGTGACTCCGTGGCCTATGTCCACCACCAGCCCGCTGACCCGCCCATGCGCGTAGACGGACAGCACTGACTGGGAAGCCACGTACATGGCCGGGGAGCTCATCGACTCGAAGGCCACCTCCACCAGCTTCTCACGGTTGGTGGTGGGGCTGAAGGGCTGGTCGGAGAACAGCAGCGGGTGGTCCTCCGGGGCCAGACGCAGGTCGTGCTTCAGCAGGTGGCTCCAGATGAGCTCTGCCGCTTCCCAGTCCACCACGATGCCATTCCTCACCGGCTGCACCAGTGTCAGATCTGGGCCCGAGCAGGCGGCCTCGCCAATGAAAGTCGCCAGCACCGGCTGCCCCGTGGTGGTTGGCTTCTGGGGCTGGCAGCCTACGATGGTGGCCACGGTGTAAGTGGGCCGGGCCTGCCCCGCAAAGCCCACCTTACAGGTGCCTGTGCCCATGTCGATGACCACTGCGCTGGCCTTTGGGGGCACCCGGTCGCCCACCATGCTGGGGATGCCTCCCTGTACAGTCTTGTTCACCAGGAGTCAGCTGAGGGTCCGGCTGGGCCTGGGGGCCTGCGGGGGGCCCTGGAGATCTGAGAGGTTGGAGAGATTCGCATCCACGACTGCAGAGGCAGGGCGGCCAACCCGGCAAGGCTGACCACTTTCCCCTGAAATTGGAAGTGCGGGGAGAAAAGGTTGAGGCTGGGTGGGGGCAGGCACAGGCAGAGACTGGGAGGGGTGGGTCTGTGACATCAGCCTGCCCGCTGACCCCTTTCAGAAGACTTCACAATGCTGGCTAGGGGTGGAGTGGTGGGGGGGCTCCCAGAAAGTGCCCGTTTATTCTGCACCCACCACCCCCCTCCTGCCACCACCACCAATGGGCCAAATTTGGAGGAGGTTATAGGTTTCCTAAGAAGGGACATCTGTACCAGCTCTGTCCTTCAGAATCCAGGGAGACCCAGGAGTCCTCCTGCTGCCTTGTCCTGAAGTTATTTATAGTGTGTATTGAGAGCAGGTCAGAAGCCTCCTCAGAACATTAAATTAGTGATCCTTGGAATATTAATCAGAAGGTGGTCTGCCAGCGTGGCCTTCTGGTTTCCAAGAAGATACAGAAGCCAGGCAGGCGTGGAGGGCAACGAGAGGCACAAACGCCCTTGCACTAGGCTCTTTATTGCTTCTGTTTTCCTGCTGCCGGGAGCAGCCTCCCTGGACCTATCCTTGCAGGGCAGGACTTTGCCTCTTCAAATCTCTGCCGGATGCTGCCTCCTCCAGGAAGCCTTCCCTGATTTTCCCTCCCACGCTGAATGTAACATGAAGTTATCAAAGTAAGAGAGGCTAAATTTCCGAGTTATGCCCGGATTTATAAACCTGGCCAGAGAGTGAGGTTGACTTTTTATTGTTAATTATTTTTGTTTGTAGTCTAATGCATACTTTTGGCAATGTTCATTTTCTCCAGTATTTGTGGAAGTTCCAGGCACTCTCAGCTTTCTTGAGATATAACTGACATACAACACTGCATGAGCTTAAGGGGTGCAAGGTGTTGATGACTGCCCCTGGAGAGATAGCCAGCACCCACACCACCTCACATCAACACCATTTCTTTCTGTGTTGAGAACAATGAATATTTACCCTTAGCTGCTTGGAAGTATAAATCACAGTATTATTGACGACGACCACCACACTGCGCATCAGACACCCAGAAATCTGTGCCCTTGATCAGCGTCTCCCCACTTCTTCCAGCCCCTGCTCCCAGCAACCAGCATCCTGCTCTGTTTCTAAGGGTTTGGCTTTGTTAGATCCCCCTCAAAAGTGAGGTTTCACAGGACTTGTGCTTCTCTCTCTGACTTAGTCACTTGGCATATGCTCTTGAGTGTCATCGTGCTGTGGCATGAGTCAGAATTTCCCTTCTTTCTAAGGCTGACTCGTAGTCCACTGTGTGGACGGGCCGCACTGAGTTTACCCACTTTCCCGCAGGTGGACCTTGGGGTGCTTCCATCCTCGGCTGTTGTGAGTGATGCTGCCGTGAGCTTGGCTGTGTGAACATCTGTTTGGGACCCTGCTTTCAATCTTCTTGGGTATGAACCCAGAGGTGGGATTGCTGGGTTACACGGTAACTCTAGTTTTAATATTCTGAGGGGCTGTCATACTGTTCTCCACAGTGGCAGTGCCCTTTGGCACTCCCACAAGCAATGCAGAGGGTTCTGCTCCCTCCACATGCTTGTCAACCTCATTATTGTCTGTAATTACATACACACACATATGTATCCTATTATATATACATAGGTAGTTACACACACACACATCCTAATCAGAGTGAGATTGTAGTAGGGCTTCGAGCATCAGCCAGACGTTAGAAAGACGTTTAGTTCAAATGCACTGGGTGGACTGTGCCCAGGGCCCAGCCTTGGGCAGAAGAGGACGATTACTGCACTTTATTCAGCACACCTACAGGATGGACCCAGGAAGGACTGTTTTGGTGGATTTAGACACATAGGACAAAATAGTAAACATGTTTCTCCCTTTAAAGAACTACCGGCAAAGTCAGGGGATGTGAGATGGCAGCTTGCTGTGGGGGGGGACCGATCCTCACGGCCACTCGATGACTCAGGAATGGGTACCAGGTCCGTGTTTTTGTGATGGGAGATAGAGGTTCAGAGAGGTGAGATGACTTGCCCAAAGCCACACAGCTGGAGTGGGGGCTGGATTTTGAGGTGATTGCGGTGTCTAGACAATGGCGAGCTCTACCCACCATCCCCCTGATCCCCCTGAAGCCGTGGGCCAGGGGGTGGGGGCGCTCTGGGCTTCAGCCTCCCCATCGGTAAACTTGGAGGAGTAATGGTTCTGACTTCCAGGTGCAGCTCTGAGGAAAGATGGGTTTTTGTGAAGTGTTTAGGCCGTGGTGGCACAAGGTAAGTACCTTGCAGTGTGCTCTTTGCACACGTGTGCATGTGCAGGTACCTGTGTGAGCACGGGGTAACTGGGAACACCCAAGCAACAGCTTTGACATGCACTCAGGGACTTAAACACGCATTTCTCCTGAGAGAGAACATCTGCACAGATATCAAATGTGCGCCACCGCTAACACGTAGACCAGCATCGCCTCTTTCCACCTACATCTGAGGTCCCTGGGAAACCAGACGTACTGCCTCTCGTCAGCAGGGGGCACCCAAGACCACCACTTTTTCCCCCTTCCCTCAGTGAAGCCCTTCCTTCACCAGCTAAGGTGTTCACAAACTTGTTGCAAATTAGAATCACCAGGGGAACTTAAAAAGCGACCTCCCCTTCCTGGCTGCACTCGGGTCCCATCGAATTTAAATCTCTGCAGATGGAGACCACGCATTGGCGATTTTTATTAAAGCTCCCAGGAGATCTCAATGCGCAACCGGTGGAGCTCCACTGACCTGATTGTGGGAACTGTTACATTCCGAAATCTCCCTGATCATCAGGAAAGACCGAGAACCGCACCGGGCGATGAGCCAGTCCGCTCAGACCAGCGGGTCCTCGTGCTTCACCGGTTATGAGACTCCCTGGGGGGGGGGGGTGTTAAAACACCGGGGTCTCGTCCCACTCTGGTTCAGCAGGTCCTGGCGGGCCGACAATCTGCGCGTCTCACGCCCCCAGGGGCGGCTGCGGGTCAGCAGACTCCAGGGCAGGCAGCATGGTCTGCAGCCTTGCAGACCTCCGGAGGCCCAAACGACAGGACTGCGTTATTTTATTTCTAAATTAATTTTTTGAATTTTAAAATTTTGAATTACAAAGCAGTTCAGGCTTATGAAGAGCACACACAGAGTCAAAGCATGCAAAACACGATAAAGAAAAGATGGGAATGACCGAAACGCCTCTCGGGGACGAAGTGGCCGACGTGCTATGGTGGTTCCGAGGGGCTGCCAGCCTCGCGCAGGGAAGAGGGTCCTGCCATTGCAGCTACGTGGAGGAAGTGTTCCGGGCACTGCAGCGGGCGGCCCGAAGACAGGTACCCTGCGGTGTCGCTCACACGTGGACTCCAAAACAGCTTGGGCGCGCACAGGAATGCCGAATCCATCACGTCTTTTTTTCCGCATGTGTGATGTTTCGATATCCTGGGGTCTTGCTGGGGAAGAGACTGCCCCTCCCAGAATTAGGTACCATGGTTTGCCATGTATAATGTGGACTTTTTGCCCAAATTTTTGAGGGGAAAATAAGGATGCACATTATACGTGGGCATGATGATCACACACTACAGGTAAAACAATGGGCATGATAATCCCGTGTATGAGACGCACGAAAACGCGGCTAATTCCGAGAGACGGCAAACAACTGCCCCGTGAGGCCCCTTTCCTGTGCACACCGACCCGTCCAGAGCCCACTCCCCCAGCCACCTCGTTTATGGACTCCAACATCGGGGCCACTGTGCCCCTGCTGTGACCACCCCAGGGTCAAGTGCCAGACAGCCAGGGCCAGCCCCTAAGACCCAGAACCCACTAAAATTCAACGAGTTTGCGCTAAGCTTGCTTACCTGCCTCATCTATTTTTTCTGTGGAAACCACAATCTAGTCTCTTGCCCATGTGTTCTAACCATTCCCTCTGTCTCCTGCCTGCCACAGGGGCCTCCTGATGGGCCCCCAGGATGCCGGGGACCCTTGCTTAGAAGCTGTGAGACACCAGTGACCTTTCCAATGGCAGTGCGTCACCTGACCTGTTGGCCTTGCCATTCCAGAGCAAAAGTAAACTTTCATTTTAAAACTGACTTCTTCGCCCTGGCCAACGAAGAAGTTGATTAGAACATTATCCTCTACATCAAAAAGATTGAGGGGCCAGTCCCCTGTGGGGCACATACCTAGGTCGTGGGTTTGGTCCCTAGTGGGGGCATGTAGGGCAGGAAACCAATCAGTGTCGTCAATGTCTCTCTCTCGCTCCCTTCCTCTCTAAAATTTATACATATGTAATATATGTGATTTATATATGTAATGTAATATATATATATCTCCACCCCTGGGTAGGGATTGAAACAACGACAACAATAAACCAGACTCCGCCGCCCACTCTTCTCACTCAGGACTCGCACTGGGCTGGGATTGTCCTCCTGTTGCAGCCCCGGGCCGACGCTCCCTCCTTCGTTCCTGGCAGTAACCGGTGGCTGTAGCTCAAGCGTTTGCTTTATTTGGAAAATTCTAGGTAGCGCTTTGTGATTTGTTGTCCTTAGGTTTCAATTTTTTTTTTTTTACTTTTTTTCCTTCAATTACAGTTGCCATACAATAGCTTGCTTCACTCCTGCATCTTCTGTGTAACAACAGTCTACCCTTGAGGATTTCTAGCCATTTCCCATTTAAACCCATTTTTCTCAAATAAATTCTTTTTTTTTAAAGATTTTATTTATTTATTTTTAGACACAGGGGAGGGAGGGAGAAAGAGAGGGAGAGAAACATTAATGTGTGGCTGCCTCTCCTGTTCCCCACACAGGAGAACCTGGACTGCAACCCAGGCATGCGCCCTGACTGGGAATTGAGTCAGTGACCCCCTGGTTCACAAGCCGGCACTCAATCCACTGAGCCACA